TATGATCCCATTTCACCACCCACACTCTATGGTAATCGATAATTCTTTCTTCTTCTTGATGATGATTATACTTGTAACATGTGGGTGTATATGATAAAATTGAAGGATGAGCGTTCAATGTCTTCAAAAAAATTTGTTTGGTTGTTGATTATTAAACAAATATGGTAGTCGATAATTCTTTCTTCTTCTTGATGATGATCATACTTGTAATATGTGGGTGTATATGCTAAAAACGAAGGATGAGGTGTTCAATGTCTTCAAAAAAAAATTGTTTGCCTGTTGATTATTAAACAAACCTTAAACTCAAGACGTTTAGATAAATCGTGGGGCAACTCATTTCAAAGTAATTGACCACCTACTATGAAGAAATGAGTCTAAATCGTTACTTCGCGACACCATATTCCCACAACAAAATGGTGTCATGAAACCAAACCATGTTTGAGATGCCAATGAGCATTTTAGCGGCATGAAGCTACATGACATGATGTCTATGTGCTCAACCAATGGTCATGGGACAAAGTGCAAAGTTCAAGACTAAGGTGGTGTTTGTTTTTTGTCCGCAGATCTTCCTGGCCTCTTCTGTCTGTGCGGCGCAGACCACGCGCAGACATTAGCCTTAGCAGATTGTTTGTTTTTTTGAAGACTGCAGACCTAAAAATGTCTGCGCGCCCTCTTCTTGGCGCAGATGTGGACCGGAGTCTTCTAACATCTTCAGACATCTTCTAGCCTAAAAAAACACATACACTTTATTTTTTTTAGTTTTTTTGAATTTATATTTATTCCAACTTTATTAGTGATAAACAATTTGAAAAAAAAATTACAATACTTAAAAAAAAAAGTTCGACGACAAGAACATGATATTTTTGACAAATTTATAAATAAAAGTTTATTACAATAATGGTCGTTGAAATTGTTTATATAAATATGAAAAAAAAAAATTCTTATATTTTTTGTGCCAAAATTTATAAAACATTATTTAATAAAGCATCGTCAATTTCTTAGAAAAAATATTTATGACACATTTTTAATTGATTTAATTGAAAAAATCGAAGTTTATTTCCATTCATTTATATATCAAACTAGGTGTAAGACCCGTGTATCACACGGGTTAATTAAAAAAATATATCAAATTTTAAACATCAAGCAATTAGTAAAGTAATACTTTTACATATAAGCAAAGACTTTATTGAATAAGTATGTAATTGAACCCAAATTACTAAAACTTAGTAATTATATGAAGTAAAAATTAAACAAATAACATGGTTTCATAATAAAAGGACCAAAATGCCCTTTTCACAGATTTCCCCTATTCAAAATTATAGTTGGTTGTCATTATGGGTTAGAAATGTTTTTAAAACATATAAGTATGATATCGATACAATCTTAGTGACCTACTTTTATTTCTTTTAATATGTGTGATAAAACATATAAGTTTAATGCTATAAGTGACATAAATCTGAAAAATAAAAATAAATAAACAACAAATTTAGAAAAGGCAAATAAGTTTCTTTTCCAATTTACCGATTTGGCCTTGTGTAAAAAATGAAAATGATCAGGGCATGACAACTTTGTACGAATTGTAGAAACTATAGAAATAGTGTCCTATTTTTCATTTTTTTTTATCCAAAATAGCATTGTACATAACAATACACTTTACCCTTAATAAAAGGACCAAAATGCCCTTTTTCCAGAATTCCATTGTTAAAAATTATAGTCGGTTGTCATTATGGGTTAAAAATGTTTTAAAAACATATAAGTATTAAATCAATACAATTTTAGCAACCAACTTTTATTTCTTTTAATACTATTTTTAAAACATATAAGTAAGATGATATAAGTGACATAATTTTGAAAAACTAAAAATAAATAAACAACAAAATTAGAATAAGTGAAACAATAAAGCACAGTTCATGTACAAATCTACTATTAATTTTAGCAATTCCGATAAAAAAAATTATCTATCTAAATTCTCTGCACCCCATAAGCCTCTAAAATGAATGCACTTTTATTCCTGATAATATAGAACTGAAATAAATGCTATGGGGAAGCAACTTTTTTAAATCTGTGCTCCAAAATGATGTTTAAAATCTTTTCGGGGATATAAAACCTTTTCTTGATGGTTTTGCTCTCGAGATATTTTGATAGTTTCTGGTCAAGAGAAGCCACTTTGAAGGTTTCATCTTCTTTAACAATACCGTTCATCAAAATTACCAAGAAGTTATTACTATGCACATGTAATAAAAAAAACTTGTTTAATTTGTGAGAAACATAAGTTATCTGGAAGACACCTTGACTGTCACGAACATTGTCCATGAGAAAAATTAATCATTTTCCTTTATACAATGCTACAACTTCATGGTGTATTAATATTGTCTTGAAATAATCAATATGGTCATGAGTATAATCCATAACAACATTACCTTAGCATCTCCACTTTCAAAGTATTTAATTAAAAACGATGTGTATTTGAGCTTTGGTCAAAGTGAGTGAAAAAAAGGAGTCAGTGTTATTCAAATGATCAGAAAAAAAAATTACAACTTAAGCATGAAGAATAAAAAAGATTAAATAAATATGTACCAAAATATCTTACAAAACAAAAAGTTAATCATAATAAAATTAGATTAAACAGTTTTGAACGACAATATAGATTTTATATTGTTCACAATAACTTTCATCACCACCAGTAAAGTAATCACCTAAAACCAAAATCATGTTAGAACTTGATTAAATCTAGACTAAACACCATCCTGATTTCACTGATCTCAAATGGACCTTCTCATGCTGGTCCTTATTCTCATCTAAGAGTCATGTTATCTTATTTTATCTACTATTAAGTATATCAATTCTCATAGACATTTTATCAAACACCTAGGGTGCAGTATCAAAAACTCATAAACAACATAATTCAGAGCATAACAATTCTTAAAAGAAAATGATCAAAAAAATAAAATGAAACAACACACTCACCACTTGTAGACATATCGGTTTAGCAACTTCCAAATGTACCGAAAAAACCTCCAAGTCGATGCACAGTGAAAAAAGAGAAGAGCTTATTTTGGTTAAAACCAACACTCCAGAATTGAATAGTATACACATAGAGATTATTAATCTCGGTGATTTTGGAATTGATTTAGTGAGATTACCTTCACAATTTATGTCGATTCCTTGCTAATTAACTGAAAAATCTCGAATATTAAGGAGAAGATTTCTGGCATATTAAGTTTACTAAAATCATAAAATATCTCTTCAAAATGATATCTCGGTTGATTCTGATAATCAATATTCAAATTTGAAAGTGCAAAACTGACTTAGATTTCCTAATCATAGAAAGGTATAATGGGAAAATCACTTACCAAAAGTGAACAACTTACAGAATGCAATCCGGTAATTCACTTTCATAAAATGAGCGAGAAAAATCGATTAGGGGAGGCTAATAGACTGACACGTGGCAAAAATCTACTTATTTATTAGGATAGGGGATTCTTTGATTCCTAATTACAGTGTTTAGGCATAACTTTGCGACCAAAATTGTTGGTTTTTATCAAATATATACGTTATTTTCACATTTTATACAATAATACATAAAAGTTGATTTAGATTTGTTAATTATTTATAACAAAGTCATAAATATATTAAATAATCACTTTGTAGTTTAAAAAAATCAATTTATTTAGATTTTAATTTATTTTAGTAGTCTGCAGATGTTAAAAAAACAAACAGTCTTCTTTTTTCAGACTGTAGACGTTTGGTCAACCTCTTCTGCTGCAGAGGTTTACAGATGTGGTCCGCAGACTGCAAACATTTTACCTCAGAAAAAACAAACAACACCTAACTAATGATCAAAATTTGTTTTTGAAGGGTACAACTCACTGAGCTACAATGTTGAACCTAAAAGTCAACCTTCCATACCATTTGCACCCCACGAGTGCTAGTAAAGACTAAACCTAAAATTGCTTAGGTTAGTTAGACCAACTAATAAACACCCCAAATTCTCTCTCTACATCCATGATGACATCAAGTAGTGTGGTTGGTTTAAGTGTTACTTCATCAAGCTCGACATGAAGAGGAGCTCCAAACAGGTATCAATTATTAACTAATGATTATGATGAGTTACAGTGGCGGACCTTAGTGGAGCCCGAGGGGTCCCGGGCCACTGCTCCGATTCCGGAACGTAGTGTAATTTTTTTTTAATGTTTTTTCTATTAGGTGCATCGGCTTAAAATACGAGTGCCACTACTAATTTAGATTTTTTCGGAAATTTTTTTTAATGCCACCCCTACTAAAATGTTCTGCGTCCGCCACTGATGAGTTATTATTTTTGCAAGACGTTGACAAAACCACATCATACTTCATGGCTACAAATAATGAAAATTGGGCAAAGGCGATGAAAAGTGAGACTAGATGCAATTAAAAGAAACCAAACCTAGAGTCTCGTTGATCTACAAGTGAGTTGTAAACCCATTGGAATTAAATGAGTTTATAAATTAAAAGGAGTTCCAAACATCAAAATGACAAAGTAACTAGTAGCGAATGGTTATGTATATGACATCGTTGGATGCATGTTGCTACTTCGACCTTAACAAAGAAGACGATGAGGTTGAAGAAGCTCGATGCTTGATCGGGAAGAATAAAAAAATGTTGTTTTGTTGTCAAAAAATCTGGTTGTACCATAATAAAAACTTGTAGAATTAATTGAGAGAAATAAGTATTATTAACGTTATCTTTATATTTATTTGTATTATTAGTCTAAATGTTTAAAAAGTTAATAAAGATTATTTATATTAAAAATAATAAAATGTTGATGCAAGATTTGAAATAATGCGAGTATTTTTGTAAACAAGGATGTGGAAAGTTCCAAATGTGAATGCTTGTGGTCTTATATGGACTTCTGTAACCCACAACTGAAAGTCCGAAACACCCAATTGTTGGGTCGTTTAGAATGTGAATCAGCCCAGACCCTAACAAACAAAATCATCAAAGATCAAATCAAGCGAAGAAATAGCAAAACCATTGTTTTGTTCCGTTCAATGTCTCCTCATCTGTTCTTCCTCTACTCGCTTCAAAAAACCCACCAAAATGTCAACTGAATCACAAATAATCTTACTTTTGTTTTGTTAATATCAAGAAAAAATGGGTGTTGGCGGGAATTTCTGGGATATACTTAAACCCTACGCGCGAACAGAAGGGTTCGATTTTCTAAGAAACAAAAGGGTAGCCATTGATCTATCGTATTGGATTGTTCAACATGAAACCGCAATTAAAGTACACACTCGAAACCCTCATCTCAGACTCACATTCTTCCGAACTATCAATCTGTTCTCCAAGGTAATACAAGTAATCCCTCACATTCTAATTCAAGTCATTTCTTTTTTCTGAAATATTCTGATTGAAACTTAAAATTTACCGATTTGTTTGATCACATTGGTTCATAAGGGTGTTTGAATGGGAATTTTGGAAGTGAAAATGTGATACTGATTTACTGAAGATGGAATGATGGTTTTTGATGGGTTGAGGGTTTGAGAAATTCTGATTTTGATAAAGCAAGGGTATTTATGTAATTTTAATTGGGTTTTTACTTTGCAGTTTGGTGCTTTTCCGGTGTTTGTGGCAGATGGAACCCCATCACCATTGAAGTCTCATGCAAGAATTATGAGATTCTTTCAAGCATCTGGTATCGATCCTGCAAGCTTACCAATATCAAATGGTTCTTCTGTTGAGAGAAATAAAAAGTTCTCAAAATGCGTTGAAGAATGTGTGGTTAGTATCTGTATTTTGTTATAGTTTGGAGTTATTTATCACAAAAAAGTTGTTTTACCATGAAAGTAATTATATTTTCTTAACAATAAATCTGATATTTTTTCTATGTGAACAAGCCTCCTACTTTTGTGAGTGTAACTTAACAAAGAATTGACATAAATACATTCATTCATGCATGCATACATATATTTAGGGGGTGTTAGAATGTGTGTTTTCAAGTGATTATTGCAACTTGAAGAATCATAGTTAGTTAAAAAACTGATTAAAATTAGGGAAAATTACAAAAAAAAAAAAATTTGAATAGTTTTGCGATTTAACCACTAACACTGTATTTTTTACAACTAAACCTTAACAGTTTCTAAAATTTTTCGAAATGAATGAAACTTTTATGATTTGATTTCATGTCTATAAAATTCCAAGTGGGGGGAACACTCAAAATAATAAACATGTCTTATATCATCAATATGTAAATTATGTGCAACAAATGGTTACTTATCATTGTTTCCAAGTTTTCATGGGTGCAAAATGACTAAAAGGTCCTTTGTCTATTTCACATATTTACAAAACTAACATTAAGCCCAAAAAGTTCCCTCAACCTCTTTACTTTACATATGCTTTGATTCTAAATATTTATAAAAAGTCAAATATCTGTAATAGGAGTTGCTTGAACTTTTTGGAATCCCTGTTTTGAAAGCAAGTGGTGAAGCTGAAGGACTCTGTGCACAATTAAATAGAGAAGGTCGTGTTGATGCTTGTATTACTTCTGATAGTGATGCTTTTTTATTTGGTGCCAAATGTGTTATTAAGCACATCAACCCCAACTCACAGGTACCTATATACATATATATATTTTTATAAAAACACTTTTACTTTCACCATATTATTGATTATATATTCTTTGATTGTTTAAAACAACCGTTTTTTCGGTAATGAGGGGCTGTTTGATAGTTGCTGATTGAGTCAAGGTCTGAATGAGTCAAATACTACAACTCTGAATCTGACTGAGTTAGAGGCTTCTAAGTGTGATATCAAACAGTCTGAGTCTGACAGAGTCAGACTGAGCAGACTCAGTTACCAGACTCAGTAAGAGGCATATCAAATAGCACAACATACTTTCACCATTTTATCTCTATTTAGCTACTAAACTATTATTATAGTAATCATAAAAAAGAAAATAATACTTAAGTGGTTAAATTGATTAAATGTAAGTTGTGCTTTGGTTTTTAATCCAATCCGGAGATATTTGGTAAAAAGTCAAAGAAATCCTTTGATTTATTTAGAAGAAGAAAAACTTGTTTTGAATTAGATTTATAATATCACATATGGATATATTTATGCAGGAGCCATTTGAGTGGTATGAGATGTCAGATATTGAAGGTGGATTGGGATTAAAAGAGAAAACATTTGATAGCAATTGGTCTTTTGGTTGGAAATGATCATGATTCCAAAGGAGTCCAAGGGATTGGAATTGAAACTGCACTTTCATTTGTCAAATCTTTCAATGAAGATGAGGTTTTAGATAGGTTTGAATCATTTTTCTTCATCATTTCACATATTTTTAAAAGCAAATTACAAAAAATAAACTTTAATTATATTTTAGGTAGTTTGGTGGTTTATTCAATCGTATTTTTATCCTTTTCAATCAAACCATAAAAGTTTCAGACGTTTTTCCAAATTAACCATTTTGACATGAGGTTCCATCAGTTATTTTTGTTATATCATTCATATCAAAATGGTTAATTTGAAAAAATGTATGAAACTTTTATGGTTTGATTAGAAAAGAAAATAAAGTATACATGGTTAAACCGCAAAATTTGCCAAAATATAATGTTTGTTTGTTTGTTTGTTTTTTTTTGTTTTTTTTTTCTGTATTTTTGGCTCTATTTGTAACACTAACACCAAAAGCCCAAAGTTACATAAATAACTCAATAAGATGAACTTGCATATATGGTGCATGTATGTTATTTGACTATTTTGCCCATGATGGATGTTGACATAGGTTATGTGCATTAGGAAGTGGAGACATGCTTTCTATGGGCTACAAGGGCGATTCCGTCATTAATTTAGATGAAAACACAACAAAAATAAAGTTATTTCATTGTTCATTATGTGGGCATCCTGGAAGCAAGAGATCTCATCTTAAAGATTCTTGTGAAGTTTGCAGTTCAAGTAATAATCACAAAGGTTGTGTGCAAAAACCGATTGGGTTTAAATGTGATTTGCTTATCATGTCATCAGGTATTTATTTATAGCATCATACTTTCATTTCTTTCTTATTAAGACATTGTACTTCGAAAAATCTATTTATAGCACTCTACTTTTAATGTTTTTCTTGTTGAGAAATGAAAGTAGGATGCCATAATAAACAAATCAATAAAATAAAAGTATGTTGCTCTCTCTAATATTTCTTGCATTATGTAAGGTTAAATAACAAGTATGACTAATTTTGATCAGCTGATTATCTGATTCTGAATTTTTTTGAGTGATATATAGGATAAGAAAGAAAAGGAACAAAAGAAGAATGAAGCTTGGAAAATGAGAGTATGCAATAAAATCGCCTCAGAGCCAAACTTTCCAAATAAGGCAATCATTCAAATGTATTTAAGCAACAACCACACCAATTTCACTGGTAACTTCCAAAGCATCAATATTTTTTCAATGTCATTTTAACCTTTGTTTATATCCACTCCTAACACTTTTTTTTTTGCTTTTTGTTAGATGCAGAACCATTTATATCATGGAAAAATCCAAACACGGAAATGCTGATCGATTATATAGGTTATAAGCTAAATTGGGAACCCTCTTTCACACGACAAAAACTCTTTCCATTTTTGTCCACCATTTTCTTGAGAAATAAAGCCAAAAATCAAGAAACCGGATTATTACATGGACAATATGAGTTTGACTTCATTCAAAGAACAAAGACAAGATTGGGTCATATGTTGTATGTGGTCACTTGGACAAAACATGGTCAAATGGTCAACACTCATATCCCTACAACACCTTTGATGGAAGATTCTCAAGTTCAAGAATATGATGATGATGATGATATTGATGAATCGGTTAATAATGTTTGTGTTGATATTGATAATGAGTGTGTGATGACTGATGAAAATATGGATCTTGTTATGGCTGCATATCCGCAAAAGGTTAAGCAATTTATACAACAAAAGGTGAGCATTTTTCTTTTTATTTTTAGTATGTTGGTCAACAAAAGGTTAATCAGTTTATACAAAAAACTTTCAGGAGTTTAAAGAATCAAAATCGAAGAAAAAAGGTAGAGCAAAATCTACATCAACACCTGAGAATTCATTATCACCATCATCAAGAAGTGTTCAACTTAGTATAAAAGAATTCTATCGTTCATCTAAAGGAGAATCTATGGAGAAGTTGAAAGACAATGATTCTTCTACTATAGTAAAAAGGAATGTTACAAGGGGTAATTTCTCAAAATCTGCAAGGCGTCGCTTGCTTTTTGAATAGTTTTGTGAAAATGTAGGTGGATTTGTATGTGCATAGTTTGTTTTGTGTTACTCGGTAGTGAAATTCCTAGTTTACCCTTTATAAGTTAGTATGGTGTGTTTCATCTTGTAAAGGTTAAATGTTTGGTTATGGAAGATGTTTCATTTTATTTTACTCAATTTATGCAACAAAATGGTTTTTTTTAGATTCCTTTTGGCAAAAATTGCTTGAAGCTGGAAGCTGAATGTTGTAGCTTTTATTTGTATAGAAACGTTTGTTGTAGAAATGTTGTAGAAGTAGGAGTTTGAAAGGTGTAAAATTAGATAAAAGGACATCCGAATAAAAACTCAAAATTGAAACATAAAAGCTAAAAGCTTGTTGCCAAACACAACCGAAGTATATAGGTGTGTTTTGTTTTCGGATCAAATTGTGGTAACCAATTACTCAATAATGTGACAATGACATTGGTTAAATGCTTATTGTAGGTTAAATGCTTATTTATACAATAGTGTTTCATTTTATTACAAATATTTGATTGATTGTTGATAAAATACCTAAAATACCCCTTTATAGTGACAATAGGGAATTTTTGTGGACATAATTGGATATGACAAAAGAGGCCACCTTACAAATTAGAAAGGATCAAAACTAGTGACGAAAAACAATAGTGAAACAACTATTTATCATATTCTTATAAAATTGAAGGGCAAATTTGGAATATCATTTTCATGTTCATATTGAAATCTGAAACAAGATAGACAGAAGTATCTCAACTATGTGACTAACAGTCAAATGTTCTTGTATGAGCAAAATGGTCATTTAGGCTACTATAATGATTTAGATTTGTTGATGAAAAGTTTGTTAAGGCTTAAGGGCAAAATGGTCGTTTAGGTGGTGGTTGTATGAGAAGTGTAAATGAGTACCTTTTAAATGGTTAATCATAAACGAAGATACTATCCTTAGCTTTTATTCTTGTAGTATGTTGGCGTATTTACTCTTTATCTTTTTTCATTTAATTGATCAAGTACCGATATAAATGGCCGAGTGAAATAAATTTGTGGTCTCTTTTTTATATTATTGTACGTTTGTTTTCTTACTTTTTCATGTCATGCAATCGTCAATTTGGCAACATCACCTTCCCATTTTCTACAAATGCCAACTATTTATTCTATTTTTCTATAAATTACCATTAATACACCGGTATTTTCCGAATACAAAGTCCATGTTACTTACAATTTAGATGAGATATTTTTTTTAAACAATAGTATTTTGTTAAAATATTATAATTCGTTGACCATTTATGACATTAACCTAAAATATATAGAAAGGACCTAAATTTAAAAGAAACTTGTGTTATAAAATGTATGATATTCGACTATGTTTGACATACTAGACGATGATAAAACACGACGGTTGGTAAACTAGCTGATAAGCTAGTTAAAATATATAAAATGACATAAAAGAACATGTAGACGATTGGGTATTTTTTTATTAACTAATAAATAGAATATTTAAAAGAATTTAAATAAAAAGCTCAAAATAGTCTGAATAGATTTTTAAAAAAGTTAACTTATAAATTAATTTTTAGTTTGTTACGCATAACAAACTAAAAAACCACGAAAAACAAGTTATTTGTATACGCCAAACATAACCTAATTGTGTCTTTAAGGGCTTTCCATAAAATACAAAATAAAGCTTTTAATATTATAGTAGTTTTTTTATACAGTTTAATGTATTATTTAATTATACACATACATAAATAAAATTATTAAGGTAGGAAATACACCTAATTGACTAATATTAATTATTTTCTTTTATTCATAGTATACTTCAATTCAAATTTTGTGTTTAATAACAAAAAATTAATAATGACAATTTCAAACTTAGATCTTCCATTAATATATATTAATGCACAAGACCCTTGGCAATAGTATACTTTAGATTTTTTGGGTTCTTGCCACCGTAGTTTTCTAATCTTACACTTTAGGTCTCGTATAAATGCACTGGTGTATTATAAAAACTATCCATTCAAATCAAAACTTAAGACTTTAGGTCAAAAACGAATCCTAGGGCTAATCTAGTACTGCGGACGTACAAAACTAGACCTAGAATGCACAACTAAGTTTTATTATGGTCTGACTGACGCACGTCTAAACCTGGATGTCGTAGTTGACAATCTAAACGCTTGGTGAGTTTGTTTAATTCACGGTAGTCAATGCACATACGGAACAATCCATCCTTTTTTCTTGACGAACAAGATCGGTGCTCCCCAAGGCGAGAAGCTTGGCCTTATGAAACCTTTGCTTAGTAGTTCATTCAATTGACTAGACAATTCCTAGCATTTCGGCTGGGGCTAGACGGTATGGCGATTTGGCTACGGGGGTAGCTCTAGGAATTAGGTCGATTCGGAATTCGACTTGTCTAGCAGGGGGCACTCCTGGAAGGTCTTCCGGGAATATGTCGCGAAAATTACAGACCTCCGGAATGTTGTAACGACGTAAATTTCCAAAACAATTTTTCATTTTAAAAACATGCTTTCATTCATAAAATATCATAGTATTCCAATGTATCACGTGTTATCACAATAACAATTCCCAAGATCCTCAAATACATAAATCCTCTCAGTGTGTACGGATCATGTCGGCGCCTTCCCGCGATCCTCGCTAGTACCTGAAACACATAACACAACAACTGTAAGCATAAATGCTTAGTGAGTTCCCCAAAATACCACATACAACACATACGCCACTCGAGGCTATAATACGACCCTTCGGTCGATGTGTCTCAGCGGGACCCCCCAGTCCCGTAGCTCGTTGGACCCTCTGGTCCGGTCATAGCTCGTCGGACCCTTCGGTCCAGTCTGTGTCGTTGGACCCTTCGGTCCGGTCTATATCGTTGGGCCCTCCGGCCCGGTCTGTTCAACACATAGCATACATATAACACAATGCACATAATCTCATACATACACATAACACACAAGACCCTCTGGTCTACACATAAATATCACTCTAGGTAATGTATAGTGAGAAGACTCACCTCGGGTATCTCGGATAATCTCGCACACGAAAACACTGATCTAGTCCCCGCCTAAACACATAAACAGTACTCTCGAATAAATAATGGCTCTCAAAGACTAGATCATATCCCTTCCTACAATCCCACAGAAGGGTAAAAGACCATTTTACCCCTCCCTGACCCAAAAGTCCAAATGTTGACCAAAACCCTAAAAGTCAACGAAAGTCAACAGAGGCAGTACGCGGCGCGTACCAGCTCTTGTACGCTGGGCGTACTCCGGCGATCCAGAATCGGGGTCTCAGACCCTTACGCTGCGCGTACTGAGATTTACGCCCATCGTAAGTCTCAGTTTCATGCATTCATGGATTTTGGTCTTAAATGGTTAAGACATAAACTCAAACTCCATATCTGACTTCTCTAAGACCACTTAATCCATAAAGTCGAGACTTTTAAGCCTTTGCATGGCTGTAAAGGTCCCTAATCACTTTAACACCTTTCCCTCTTCCTCATAAGGTCTAGATCTCATGCATGGCTCAATATTCACGTCCAAGATTGGATTTTTATCAACCTACAACTCATTTTACTCTGAAATATAGCAGATCTAGGCTTATGGAGACCATTTGCTCATAAAGTCTCCACCTTGGGACCAAAAACCCTAAAAGTTGGTCCAAGAAACACAAATCACAAATGACAAGGAAAGCTTTGAGCTTTTTACCTCAGGAAGAAGCTCCAACCTCTGTAGAACTCAGATTTACTCTTGTCCACCAACTTCTAGCTCCTAAAATGGCCTCCTCTTCTCTTTCACCACCTTGAAATGACACTTTGAAGCTTAGAACACACACACACAAGCTAGGAACGAAGGGTAGCTCTCTATTAGGGTTTTACTCTCTGAAATGGTGGCTGAGGATAAGGCCTTAACATTCCTTTATAGTGCACAAGCCACAATTTAGGGTTTGCATCTGGGCCGGTTACGCCCAGCGTACCTAGGCGAGTCCGCGTCCAAATTAAGCGCATGAGTACGCGCAGCGTACTCTTCAGTGCGCCCAGCGTACTCATTTGCTTTAATATTTCCTTTAAGGGCCAAACTTGACAACTTGGAAAAGAAGAAGGGTATAAGAGATGCACCTGAATTTCGGGATGTTACAAATGTCTTTGAGGTTTTTCGCTTCTTGTTTCTTGTCTACGATGTGGGATGTGGTACTCCTTGCGGAGGTACTTTTGAGCCTTGACACAAGAGATGATCTGAAAGTTTGAGCTGGGTTTGTCGCCATAGACGACGAGGGTTTCGCCATTTGGCAGATTAAGGCGAACGACCTTTTCGTGACATAGGATTTCGGCATGGTGAAGGCATAACCAATCCATGCTAATGATGACATCAAAACTTTTTATGGTGACCGGCATAAGGTCGATTTGAAATGAGTGATTGTTTAAGGTGAGGGTACACCCGGTGTAAATGTCGTTAGTGTTCTCTGTTTTTCCGTTAGCCATTTCTACGGTGAATGTGTCTTTTAGTGTTTGTGGTTTTTGTTTAAGCAAGCGTTTAAATTGATGGCTCACGAAGCTTTTCTCCGCGCCACTATCGAAAAGAATGCATGCGTATGTATTGTTGAGGAGAAACGTATCGGTGACCACAGTTGGGTCTGCAACTGCTTCCTCATGACCTATCGCCAAAACTCTGCCCACTTCACCAGAGTTGGGGTTTCTTGCCTTCAGGTAGTTCCGCTTGAAGTGTCCTGCCTCTGCACAACCATAGCAGGTTCGACTTGCTCCGACGTTGGCAGCTTGGGCGTTTTGTTGGACTGGAGCTTTACAAAATCGAGCGGTGTGCCCCTTTTTGTTACAGTTGGTGCAATGCATTTCACGGCATGCGCCGTTATGGTGAAAGTTGCACTTGTTGCACTTGGGTAGGTTCCCAGCGTATTGCCTTATCGGAGTTGGGGTGGCAGTGGTTGTGGCAGCGTACACAACAACCACTTGTTGCTTTTTGGCAGGGTCTTGAGCAGGTTGACCCTTCTTCTTGTTCTAGAACTTCCTTTTGTTGCTTCCCCCTTTTGCTTGTTCGGGGGTGGTTGTCATAGTACCATGGCTGGCCTTATGGTCGATGAGTTGCTGTGCCAGTTCTTTGGCACTGTCAAAGGTAGTTGGCTTTGAGGC